GCTCAAATTCCAGAATGCAAAAATGGTATCGATACCTAAAGGGGTACCGATACTACTTTGTATAGTAGTACCGATACCATTGCCATAGTATCGATACCATTGCCATAGTATCGATACCATCAGGCCCCAATGGCTAGTAACGGCTAGCTGATTTAAATATAAACAAAGGTAATATCGATACATCCTTTAGGAGTACCGATACCCCTTAGGTTGGGCGGCTTTATTTTGCACGAAAATTGATCCCCAACGGCTCCAATCCACCTCCAACGACTAGAAACGGTCACAACAACATTCCAACACATAAATACAAGTTGAGTACACTTGAAGAAGGGTTAGAACACCTATCCAAGCAATAAAATACAAGAAAAGAGATTTCACTCTTTATTCCAATTCTCTTGTAAATATTTGTTCTTGTGAGCTTTAAATCTTTGTATACACCTTCTTTTTTTTACATGTTTTCTTGTTTACATTCTTTTTCCTTGTAAAGGGTTTTTGGTTCTATCTTAGCCAATTGAAAAGATAGGGAGTTGTAAAAGTTATCTCTTTATCCTTGAAAAAGAAAGAACAAATTAGTGAATTTGTTAGAAAATCCTTATTGAGGTTGGTTGATAAGTCGAACCACTTTAAATCCTTGTGCCAAATTGTCTTATCTTTTTATTCTCCTTACTCCCTAAATTCAATTCTATTAATTAATCCCCTTTGCACTTTTTCAATTGTCAATTGAGCCTCTTCATAATCCTAACACATTTATTGGTATTAGAGCTACATGTTTAGTCGATTCTAGGACTAAACCGAGCTTATTTTGAGGTAAAAATTGTATACATGACACTAGGATGTCATTGTTACTGATTTGGTGATTATAAGGTTCGATTTATGCCACTCCTTACTTATAAAGGTGAATAAATATAGTATAGGAAAAAGATGTGTGTATTCGAGGGTTTGAAGAACGTGTTCGAGTATGAAGTAAAAATAAGCTAATAGTGATAGTAATGTTGTTAGTCATAATTCTACTGTTTAGTCTAATAAGATGATGTATTGGCGCAATAGGAAGTGCCAATGTTGGATTAAGGAAAACCCTCGTTTATTCATAAGTAGAGTATTGATAAAAGAATGAAACATTATGCTACAATTGATCCTAAGTGATATGTGTGCGATTAACCTTTTTGGCTAGAGTGCGAGGGTGAATCGTATTTGTAGACAATATATGTCTGATAAGGATTCAAAGTGTTTATTCATAATATACTTGATAGAATTACGTTTCAAATGTAATTTTTGGAATGGATTGATTTTCCCTACCATGTCATGATGAATTATTGCTTAAAGCGGTTGATTAAAGAACTAGGAAAGTTTCGAGATATTAATGGTAGGGAAAGAGAGTAAACATGTTCCCTACTGGGATTTTGGCACTAACTATTATGAAGTTATTGCTACTAGGTTTTCAAACCTTCTTAGTAAAGGAGGTGGATACTCAAACTTTCTTAGTTAAGTTGGAAGATATTCCAACTGTTTGAGGGTATCCAAATGTGATGATTTTCACGCGTAGGAAAAAGGAAGAAAAGAAGTAAGGAGTTGAGATTGACATCAATCACCAAGGAAATATTTACAGGTAACAATGATGGCATCCTATTATGTTTTAAAAGTTCTAGCTGGCATGTATACGAGAATGAAATGTTTGCAAATTTTTACTATTGTTAGCAATAAATAAATTAATAGTATGAATAAATAATGTGATATTAAACTATGCTTAAATAAAATTAATTTGGGTTTTAAATCAAACGTGATGGACAGTCGTATTTCTTTTATGAAACAGAATAGAACTGTCATCACTGCTTGAAATTGGTTTTAGAACTAGTAACCAAATATCTTATATAACGATGTTTCTCTGAATAATTATTTTATAATAATTGTTCAAGTTATAAAATTGGTGATGTTCGAATGAATCAAAATTTTACCTAGTTCGATTAAAGAAATGTTTTGAATTTCTGATGTGACATCTATAACTCGTATTGGTTCGCGTATACGGGTTATGGGTGTTACAGTCAAGGCAAGAATGTTTCTCTCTATCCTTCAAGCTTTGTTTTATGCTCCATTTTGTAATTTTTAGAATTAGTTTTCAAAATAGGTTTTTCTTGAAGGTAGGGTGAATCCTAGTTGTTTCAAGATGTATTTTAGCAGCCACGACTGTAATGTAACACACTTATAGCTTTCTTATACCAAGTATAGATCATGGAAAGTTAAGATTAAAGCATGTTTAACAATTTCCATGGTAGATTGTTCATTTGATGTTATAAGCATGATATAAAGCCTTATTTATGCTCCTTGTAATCACATAAGACTTTAAAGAATGTTTGGGGACCTCACTAGGGTCTTTAGAATTGAACAAAAATAGAGTTTTAGTACTTGTTTTATGACTTCTGCAGGTAGAGTATCGATACTATAGAGATATTATCGATTATTGTTCTTCGTTTTGGGCAGATTCGTGAGTTTCTAGGCAAGAGTATCAATACTCTTTCGATAGTATAAAAACTTTGGGCTATAGTTTCGAAACTTACTGAGAGTTTCGAAACTGGGGAGAATAAATTTTTTAAAAGTATCGGTACTTATATAAAGTATCGAAACTTTAGTAGGAGTATCGATACTCCAGGGATATAATCGATACTTTCAGTGTGTTTTGAGCAGTAAAGGTAGTTTTTGAGCATTTTAGACTCAAGGTACCCTAACACCTTAGTAATTCTTCAGATAATACTGCAAGTGAGAATGTTAATGTTAATTTTAACGTAGAAACAAGTTAAAGTTAAGAGAAATAAAACTAGCCTTGTTTGAATGCTCGGGAAAATGACCAGGACACTTGAGTTTCTTTAGAAAAGCTAGCACAGTCGACAATATAGATTAAGTCTAGATATCTTTAGGTTGGGTCAAGGCCCTTCTGACTAGCTATGTTTGACGAGGACTTAACACTCTTTAGAATAAAGGGTGGGTTAGTCAGGGGTATGGTTTCCGATACAGAGAATTCCGGGAGCCATATCCAGGGTATATTATAGGGGTGAGTGAGCTCCGAGATGCAGAACCCTCAGCTGAACCATGATGTCTATCATAGCATAGAGAGCGAGTATTCGAGAATACTCACTAAAGTAGTTTTAAAGATACTAACTTGGGTGCGAGGTCTAACACTCAAGGAGTGGGCCAGTAAAACATAACAGATAGTAAAACATATAACAATAGATCTTGTACCAGTAGACTTGAATGTTTAAGTCTTTCAATAAATTACAGTTAGTATGTTTTAGTTGTTAGTGTGGCGATGAACTAACTGATGTTTCTGTGGGTAGGTTAGTAGATCATGTAGTTGGGAAGTAGTAAATAGACCAAGTTCCATACCAGTCTAGTGCAGATCAGATGTATGTCTCAGCGTTTTTATTTGGTCATGTGTATTTGTAAATATCATCGTCCAGTTGAGTCGTAGATTCAATCAAGTTGATCTGTAATATTTTTGAAGTGTAAATATTTTATTTTGGAGATATTTTTATTATATTTTAGTTTATTTTATGGTCGTTTTAAAGTAAAAGAAAATAAGTTAAAGTTGGTTAGCCAGTTCGGTGGTTCCGTGTGGCATCCTACATCAATCAATTGTGTGCCGAACTAGTCTAGGATGTTACAGTCACTGGTATAATTTACCCTTTATAATATAGTAACTTTGAAAATGTTAGAATAAAATTTTAATAATTATTATAGTGACATAAAATTATTCACTAATTATTATAATATTTTAAAAAATAATATTAAATTTTTTTTGGTTGGAAAAATACTGACATGCGTCGCATATTTGGTTTTGGTAGGTGAGTCTCTTAGCAGGGATTTTCTGGATACACAAAGACTCGAACTCGATGACCCGCTTAAGTGACATCAAACTACTTACCACTTGAACCAATCCCGTTGATAATAATATTGAATTTTTTATAATTAATAATATTATTTTATATATTTAATATCGATTTAATATTCTAATACTCCTATTATTTTTTAAAATTATTAATTATTAAAATATATCTATTAATATTTTAATAATACAGTATAATAGTTTTATTTAATAAGTAATAAATATGATTCATACTCATTGATTATTTTAATAAATATAATATTTTAATATTTTCATATATAAAATTGCAATAGTTTGTAAAGTAACAAAAAGTTTTTTTTACATAGAATCATTTACACATCAGAAAATACCATATTTTGAAAAAAAAATAATCTATCTTTTAAATTATTTTTTAATGAAAATAAGAACTACAGTAAGATATATATAGTAATTTGAGTAGAGGATCAATCACTGTTTATAGAAATTATATTAAATTTGACATGATGGACCTCATGAGAATTTAAAAAACCTCTCTGCCTCTTAAGCTTAGTTTAGCCGATATGCAAATTTAGTCTCATATGTCCCTAAATTATAACCCTCATTTTAAATTTGGTACTTATATTTTTAAACATTATAATTTCATCCCTAAACTATGATACTTTTTAAATTGGTTCATAAACTTTTGAATATTCTAATATCATCTCCAAATTCATTCAAATATATAATTAGTTCCAACCATAATTTAACCTAATTTTTGTTTATTTTTTTCAAACATATAATAATATAACTTAGTATAATGATTTTATTAACAAAGGATAAAATTAGTATATACTTATAGTTTGGGATAATATTAAAATGTTTAAAAAGTTTAGGGATCAATTTAGAATGAAATTTATAGGTTGGTTTAGTTTGATAACTGATTTAGAATGACAGTCATAGTTTAGGGATGAAATTCAAATATTTGAAAGTGTAACGACCAATTTAAAATATAGGTCATATTTTGAGAACGTATGTTTCAATTAGTTCAACATAAAATTGTCATGTGAGTCGAGAAATGACTGGGTTTCTCCGTGGAAAAGAAGAGAGTCCAAACTCCATAAAACACCTGCAGAGGATACAAAAGGAAGAGACAAGAGAGTAAAGAAAGAACAAAATCCATGGCAGACACAGCAAGCAACTCTAAATCTAAATATCCAAGATGGAATCTCAATGGAATGACTGCCCTTGTTACTGGTGGCACTCGAGGAATTGGGTTGGCTTCTCTTTATTATCATTTCCCTTCCTTTTTATATTTTCTCAAAGCTTTTTTAATGGTCAAGTTTTGATTTTGGACGAAAACCAATGTTCAAAGTCGCATTTTTTTTATTGTTTTTGTTTAATTTTTTCGCCGTTTATTTGCTTTAACCTGTCAAAATTTGTTTTTTTTTTTGGACAAAACGCAATAAAGTTGCAATTTTTTTTTTCATTTTGTTTTTTGGTTGTTGCTTCAAGGCATGCTATAGTGGAAGAAGTTGCAGGGCTTGGGGCGGCTATTTACACATGTTCAAGGAATGAAGCCGAGTTGAATAAGTGTTTGAAGGAATGGGAAGGCAAAGGGTTTTTGGTTAAGGGATCTGTTTGTGATGCCTCGTTTAAAGACCAAAGGCAGAAATTGATAGACAATGTTGCTTCTGTTTTCAATGGAAAGCTTAACATTCTTGTAAGTGTCTTTGCCAATATTTGCCCTGTCTTACAAACATTTGTATGAATCATTTTCTTCGTTTTTGCCATTTGATGTTGGAGTTTACTTCTAATTTTCTAGAATCTGCATTTACTCTTTTACTGAATGCTTCTATTTGATTGTATATGTTCTTATCCCAAACTGTGGTCTAGTTAGAGAATTCCAAATTTTTTCCAGAACATACTTCGACGCTTAAATCGCTGAAGGTACAACACCTATGTGCCTTCCCGAACATCTCCTTCAATCATGTTTTGATATTTCTTGTTAGCATCATGAATTGGGTTGATTAACATACTGCCATCGAATGCTCACACCTATGTTTGAGTAACACTGGTCTCATTGTTCCTTTTCAAGTTAACCCTGTAAACATCAACACACTACAAGTGATTGTGTGAAACAGCCTAAACATTAATATGATATGTGCATGAGTGGGTTGTTTTCGTGTTTATTAAACCTGTTGCTTTCGAATCATGTTGGGATTTAGGTCAACAATGTGGGAACAAACATCAGGAAGCCAACAATCGAGTACACTTCCGAAGAGTATTCAAAGCTGATTTCTACAAACTTTGAATCTTCTTACCATTTATGCCAACTTGCACATCCTCTTCTCAAAGAATCTGGAAAAGGAAGCATTGTGTTCATTTCATCTGTTGCAGGTCTGGTCCATGTTGGCTCTGGATCCATTTATGCACCAACCAAAGGTAAGTTATCTTCTTAATTCACCCTTCTCTACTCCCTATTATTTGCGGATTTGATTCAAATTATAATATCCGGATTTAATGCAAATAATAAATGGATTTGGATTTTCAGTCTGTTTTTGTGGATTCTTAACATCACAAGAAAATGAAGATATCCAATCTGCCTCATCCCCAAGTGTCAAACACTAATATACCACAAGTACTTTTTTTTATATATATTTGGAGTATCAGAAAGTCAGCCCATGTTCGAATATTGTCTCGTATTTGTTGTTTGGCAGCTGCTATTAATCAACTTACAAAAAACCTGGCTTGTGAGTGGGCGAAGGATAATATCAGGACCAACTGTGTTGCTCCCTGGTACATCAGAACCTCTCTTGTTGAACATGTAAGATTTCCCACTTCTTCTAGTTTTCTTCCCCCTTTATCATCATTTTATAGGATTTGTTTACTACACCTCCAACCACATTTTAATTATTTTCTCATATTATGCTCATCTCTTGGTCGGGCCATTAATTAGAATAGTAATTTGAATGGCATCGTGCTGACTTGAATTACCTTGTCGAAAGCTAGGCTTGGAAGGATAATCCTATCTTTGGATGGATCTAAGTCGAACAAACTAGTCGTGTCAAACAAAATGTAATAAAGATTAAAATTCTCAATCACATGGATTTTTCTAAAGATTAGCTCTTGCTGATGAAGGATTTAAAATCCTTTTGAACCGACTTTGTGTCCTTTACCTTTGTAATTCAGTAGTACTTGCCCACTAGTCTTTTCTCCGATTGATCGCCCATTTGATAATTTCCTGTTTCTCCAAAGCATCTGATGTTGATGAAATTACCATTGAAATGCTAATTCAATTCAGTCACATATTATGTCACTGTTTTCCTTTTTTTATAATTATTGCTATAAATTCAGATTCAATGTTAGATATGAATATGTATTTGACATGATTTTCTGTAATTCTTAATACCTATGATATAATTTTTCATATAAGAATATGATCTTTTAAGAACTCTTTAAATGCATGGAAAAACTTGAAACAAATTGAATATATTCGTGATGCTAAAACCTAAATTTGAGTAACATAAACATCAACTGTGAGCCTGACAGGTTATGAAAGACTGATTATTAATGCCTTTTTTTTTTACTGTTGTTGTTTGTGTGTTTGAAGTTGCTTGAAAAGAAAGAATTATTGGAAAAAATAATATCTCGCACACCACTTGAACGTGTCGGTGAACCAGAAGAAGTGTCGTCCGCGGTGGCATTTCTTTGTCTTCCAGCTTCTTCTTACATCACTGGGCAGATTATTTCTGTTGATGGAGGATTCACAGCTTATGGCTTCAATCCCGGCATGAGATTGGATTAAACTACACCTCCAACCTTCATAATCTTTTGTCGTCTTGAACTCGGTGGTCCTTGGTTTACGATAATAAGCTTTCTGTTGATTATATGTCATTTGGACCTGGATATTGGTGTTCTACATAAGTTTATATCTTATATGGGTATTTAGAGGGTCCGTAGAATCTTTTGTTCTCATGTTAAAAAATGTGGGATATATTAAAGAACAAAGACTATATCTTGGATGATCTTTGTTTTATTTTCTCCTTTCTTGGTGACTCTTCCTGATATAGGCTCATCTACACTCTTCAATGGAAGTGAATAGATAGCCTTATTGTTGTCCCTATCTAAAAATGACAAGTAGTAATGCCCTTGAATTATAAGTATGGCTACAACAAAGATAATAAAGGAATGGAATTAGAAATGATATAAGAAAGGATAAGTAATATAAGTAATGGAATAAAAGAGATGAAAAGAGTTGGTTGCGGAATTATAAATGAAGATGTTGGTGGTCTTGATGGAAGATGGTTGATGGTGTTGATGTTGATGTTGTATGGAAGATGGTGATGATGGTGTATCTCAAACATGCCAAAGAAGAAGCTATACTAGAGAGCACAACCTTGGTCTTCACAAATCTGCTTGAGGGGTGGTAATGGTGTCTTCAACCCACTAGATATAAAATCTAGGAATTTAGAAATCAAGGTGAAGAAATGACGTCACAAGTATAAGAAATATACTTGCTTAATCGATTAAGTTCTCAAAGAACTTTGAAGAGAGATTTAACTCACAAAGGTTGTTTATATTATGAAATGAGATGAGCACAAATGAAAGCAAGCCTCTCAATTTATAGGAAATGAGAGGGCTTGACCGAATAGTCACCTAGTGATTCGGCAAGTACATGACTTTAATTGAAAATATTAATGCTTTAAATGAAAGGAGAAGTTCCTTGGCATGGTGATGGTTCGACTATCCTTTCAAATAATAAGACATGTTGGTTCGGCTAGGATGAAGATGCATCTCCCTTGGCCGAATGGTGATATGCTTGTTCATCTTGGCGCCAAAGTCATCTTCCTTGGCTGAATGGTGTTGTGTTGGTTCATCTTGGTGCCAATTTCTTCATGTGCAAACCATGTGGATGGTGGCCGAATAGGCATGGTGCTTGTCTCATGTCTCTTCATGATTTAGGCCTCCAATGGATGTAATCTCTTCACCAACGTGCACCTTGATGAAAGGGCATCTTTATGGACAACAACATTCATGAAAGGTCACAATTGTTGGAAGGTAACTTTTCATGTTTGAGTTAGTTCTAGGGTGAATGAGCTGGAGGTGAGTTGTAACATAATGAACATTATGACAGCTTCTTGTGGAAAAGTACCTATTGAGTTGGCAACTATTCACGAAAAGGTACAATTTCACAAAAATTGATTTAGGTAATATTTGAAGTGTCCTAAGTGGTGGTGGTGCAGCTCCCCAGCTGAATTGAAGTCATCTTGTAGCTCAAATCTTCAGCTCAATACAATTATGAGCTCACGGGTCACCGGACAACTTTTCACCAAATGTTCCTTATGTTCTCCTAAACGTCCTCATGTAAGTTTCCTAGCTGTTCCTTTCACCATTTAGCTCCAAGATAGCTCCCAAGTTGTGTCCGAATGTACCTACACTTAAAACATAAAGAATAAATTAAGTACATGAACTATATTAATGTGTATAAGATAAAGATGTGTACTACATGTTATTTAATAATCAACATGTAATATATTAAGCAACCTATTATCTAATGGTTCTTTCTCATTAAAAGATTTAAAAGCATGAATGCACTTATGAGAAAGTACTTCCCTGAATTGTTTTGCCTTTGCACGAGTGATAGGTCCTTTAGGCATGACTCCAGGATCCATTGGTGAGGTTATGATCACATCGATTCCTTTGTCATTGTTCATGTGTATGGTGTCGATTTTCGGATTCGGGTGTTTATTTGCGTTGTTAGGTTTAATTAAATTTTGAGCTTAATTGCACTAAAATAACAAGTTTAAACTTGTTTTGAACTTTGATCAGATGCCATATATAACTTGAAAAAATAAATAATAATCGGATGATTTCAACTTTTAACTTTATTTTCGGAGATAATCTCAGAGCCTTCAAATCGTAACATAAATGGATGCAACCAACCTCTGTTTTTGTTCTACATGCTCCATACGGAATTAGGATTTTACGTAGGGATGAGGATGGGGATGGGTTGGGTCGGGTCGGGTTGGGTTGAATTTTCTGTCTACTCGACCCGACCTGAAAATTATAAATCTTTTACTCGACTCGGAAAAGTATACACCTTTCATCCGACTCGAATCTGATCCAATCCGGCCCGAAATAATATATTTATTAAAAATATTTTTTTTATTCAATAAAAATAAGAATTTAATTGAAAGAAAATAATATAGAGAGGGTATTATTGTAATTATCCTTAAATATATAAGGTATAATTATATATTTTTGGAGTCATCGGACAGGCCCGACCCAATATATGTGCCAGATGGGCCTTAGCTCAAGACAACATGTTTAAGGGGAGGCATAAGTTTTCTAGTACTTATAGTGTGTATATATATATTTGACCCAAAAAAATTAGCCCAAAACAACAATAATAATTAAAAAATCAATTATAATATTTCTCAATGTCCATGTTTAAATTTCTTATAGGAACTACTTGGTTTTATTTGTTTATGTATACCATCTGATAAGTTGCAGTAACTGTTAAAGCACGGTACATTATTTATGTGTTTCACAAGAAAGTTTCTATAAAGCCAACATTACCTTTAATGTACGATTGTGCACCAAGATTATTGCAACTGTGATTAGAACAAATGTCAAAACTTGTTATCAGAAGAAATGTATTGATTATCGTCAAATAATAGATGTTTTTGTTTCAAAAAATATACGAAGACATCGTTTTAGGTGATATTTATAGCCTTGTAGGTTTTGGTTTGTATTAATATTGATATTGTTTGACTATGATTTCTATTACATTTTTGTTTTAAAAAAATTATTTATGTTTTGTCTATTATACGGTACAAGTATAGGGGCATTAAATTATTATATCGCCCAGAGCATTAAAACTCATTGTACCGGCCATGATATTGGATATTTTTCACTTTAGATCTAAACTCAATTCGACCTGAACATAACCTTTAAAAACTCGACCCAATCGAATCAGAAGCCATCGAGTTCAGATCACATGCTCATCCCTAGTTTTACCGGCTATAGGTACTTGTTTGTATGTTTGCCTTTTTTAACAGAACTTGTTTATTCTATGTATGTTTGTTTGTTTGTTTTTCTAGTTTGTTTGGGAAGTTTGTTATACTTTACATAGACAATGATGAGCAGAAACGTTCTTAAAATAAAAGAGAAAGAAAAATGTTACGCTAAGATTTTATGTGAAAAATCTTAAATATAAGATTTAGGGGTAGAAGAGAATATTCATTAATTTCAAAAAAAAGATTACAAAAAGATTGCGACCATACAAGTAAATAAATATACTTTTAATTTTAATATCTAATATCTATTTACATGAATAATTATTTGATCACAAAACAAACTTACGTAGCAAAACTCTACTCAAGCTAATTTTTTTAATCAAAGTTTAATAGTATAAATTTAGTTATGTACGGATTCAACATGTGCCACAAGGTAATTAAAAGAAATCTCAACATGGAATACGTCCATAGATTATTAATTTTTCTCTCTATTTTATTTCTTTATCAACGGAGATATCATGAACTTTTTAACTCATATCAAACAAAATTTAGTCACAAAACTCTAATAAATTCTGCGACGTTTGATATTAGTCTGAACTATACAACTCGAATACCAAACACCACATTAAACACTTAACCTACTCAAAACAAATTTGACTTAAAAACATCATTTATATATTTCTTCTAATCAATCGAAAATAGTGAAAACATGCTTATTTCAAGTCAACATAACATCTACATCACCAAACATGCATTCTTGCAATTAATATAAAATATTACATGTGTAATATAAAAAGTCATTTGAAAAATTCATTATATATAAAATAAATTTATATCTACTTTCAATAATAGTGTCAAAAATCTCAGCGAAAACAAGGTTGTAAATATAAGTGAATCACAAAAACTAAAGTATTTAGGAACTAAATTGAAATACTCCAAATAATTTCAATACTTTAAAACTCAAAATTTCAAGTTCATTAATTAAATTATGGTTGTTATAGTCTCATACCTCCTCCTTTCTTCATAAGCTTAAAAATTATCCCTCTCTTTCTCTCTCTTTTAATCTCATCTTTAATTAAATTGATTTCTCACTTGATGAACTCATATTCGGTCCGATGGGCCTCCATTCCACAATTCTTCTATTCAAATAATTTCAGGTTAGCGCTTGAATGTTAACTCAAAAATTTATATCGTTACAGTCCACTTAATTTAAAACGCTTAAATACCTTTTAATTTATAAAAACTTCTCTCTAATTTAAATTTTGAATTATCTTTAATAAAATATATGATAAATCAATTAAAACATATAATTTCGATAATTATATGTAACTGAAAATTATAATTATATCATAACAATAATTTTGATTGTAACATATCTATTAAAACAAATACTTACAATAATTATATATATTTAATTATTTAAATCAAAAATCATAATCAATTTATCTCAGTGGTTAAATGAATCGTTGATGTTCCTAGAGTCACATGTTTGAGACCAACAACTGTAGCAGGGTGATTGAGTTTTCATTATCAAATGGTTGATAGTATTTAGAACATATACTTACTTTGCAATCACCTTAACTTAATTGAAAATATAATTTGCTTATTGTTTAATTGTCTAATTAAATTAAGGGTAAACTACCTATTTAGCCATCTACTTATTACTTAGTTTCTGTTTTGGTCACCAACCTATTATTTATTCAAAATCATACTTAATAGTATGTTTTGATTTTGCTTTGCTTACTCACTCTTAAAAAATTAATGATGATGTTAACGTGGGTGACAAAATAGGCAATTTATGATTAAATTAATTCAA